GAGGAAGCCGTGGCTGCCCTGGGCTTGGGGGGGTGTGTAGAGAGAACGGCCGTCCTGGGCCTGACGTGGGCTGAGGCGAAAAATAATCGGAAAAGCTTTGAAAGGATCCAGACGTGCTGCTGGGGGGGTCGCATGGGTTTATTCTACGGGCAGAGGCACAGCCTCATGTACAGATGCACTGACGGGAAAACACTGGGACATGTCTCCCGGCTGCCTCTTCTATCCGGGCTGTGCGGCACCGAGCGTTGAGGCCTCGCGTGGTGGCCCGGTTTTGCTAGGTAACTAGTGTTCAGGTGTTCAAACCCGCTTTTTAGGTAAGATTTTTATGTACGTCGCAGGTACGTTGTAGCAATCTCGGAGACGGAGCGCAGGGTCAGCTCCGTGTGTGCTTAGATGTGTTTGTAATGCACACGCTTGAGCGAGCGTGCTGCTCTCATTGTTGGCCAGGTTGAGTGAGATGAACAGAACTTGGTGGAGCTAACTTCTATAATAGCTATTAGTCATTTTTTATTCGTAAAACTTACTGTGTATCTTCCTTTCTCTTTTAACAGTGAAAACATCGCAAAATAAAGATTGCTAGTTGAAAAGGCTGGAGTTAACGTTCCTGTTTTGTATCAAACATTTAAACCAAAGAGTGCCGTGGCAGGAGAGCGCTGAGTGGGTTTCCAGTTTTGCAAGAAGGACTGGTGTGTTTTGTGAACGTGGACAAAATAGCACGTTCTGTTTGCCTGATTACAGTACCCACTAAAGCTGCCATTGCTCTGCAGACTGAGCATTCCAGGCAAGCTGATATTTTTTTAATCCTGAAAAAAAATTAGCCAACTATTTTTAATTCTGCATGTAGCCTGTAAGTTTTCTGTCACAGGTATGTTTCATTTCACCTGTTCCTAACACGATTTTTAATTTTTTTTTTTCCTCATCTTTTCAATTATGCAGAGAGAAGACTTTTATTTTGTCTCTGTTTCAGGCCCGTTTTTAAGCCTTTTTGCATCTGTAAATAAAACACACGAAGTTGTATGCCTGAGTTCCTCTTCCATACTTTCTCCCTAGTTTCAAAATCTTGTTTTAATAAAAGTATCTTTCTCAGAGAAATATCTTTTTGTTTCCTAAAAAAAATTGCAGAGGGAAGCAGTTTAGCTGCTTAGGCAAATTTCTGCTGGCACGTGATAGGTGTTTGTGATAGAACTGAAAGGTTCTAGATGTTTTCCTTTCTGATAAGAGGATGTTTTCATTTTTGTTTGTCTATGAATGACAAATATATATTAAGAAAATTGCGTTTCTGTACGATTTTAACAGGTTTGGCTGTTCCCTGGAGTCACTGACAGGCAGAGGATAATACTTCAAAGAATGATTCCATAAGTTGTTCCAAACTGTATTTTTATATGGTGAAATTATATTTCATGTGATTCTTTTTTTTATTATTATTTTCTCTCTGCTTTAGCACCTAAGGCACCTGCAACCAGCAGCCATGCCCCTGCAGGTGCCAGACCAGCATGGATGAGGAAAGATCAGCCTCACATTCAAAAGCAATTTGTCTTTGAAAAGCCATCAGAGGTAAAAATTACACGGTAACTAGCAGAATCTTGTCTTTTATTAAACTTAAAATGATAAAAATTATTAAATTTTAAGATTATAGTCTCAGATTTAAAAACAAATTAAAAACTCAGCTGAGCTGACCTTTGGGCTTTTACCGAGTAAAGTTTTGTGACAGTCTTGCATATATGGCAAACAGAAAATTACGGTCCCTCTGTTTAGCCTTAGACTTTCATTTTGTACCTGTTACAATAATTTAGAAAGGAATGTCCATTAGGGGGCAGTTGACTGTTAAAAACCGCCTGCAGTGGTAGCTGGATTTGAGAGTCTGTGGGGCATGGAGAGAGTGGGTGGGTTGTTACTGCTTACCAATTGTCCAAAGGTATGTTTTTCTCACTGACATAACAGTATGCAGCTGTGTAGAGTCATTAGAGATGGCAATTAGTTCTGTTTGACTAGAGCATGCCAGGTACTTAAGTGTTTAATATTCAGTATGTATTGTCTTGTTGCCTTTCAGGTGGAGCGCAAAGTTCCTGAGGCAGGTGTGATAGAGTGAGTATACTCCTGACTTGACTGTCAGTCAAGTGGTTTTTCTGTCTTGTTGGTCAGTGGGAATCAGCTGAAAAAGAGTTCCTTCTCTCCTTACAACTGCCATGCCTTTGGAAGAAATATCAGTACAAAATGTGGACTTTCAGCCCCTTTTATCCTGAAGACGATTTGTAATCAGGAGACTACGAGTCCATGTTAACTAGTTTTTATAGCTTTGGTGTAGTTGTATAAGCCAGGAAGCAAAAACAATTGGACGTTCTGAATCAGCAGAAATGCAAGTATGTCTCCTTTGGTTAGCAATGTACATTTTCCTAGAGCAGTCCCTGTGTAAACTATGCTGGAAATTTACTTACTGTTATCCAGGAATATAGCTGGTATGGCAACTCAAGCAGCGCTTCCTTTGAACGTTTAGAAATGCAGCTGCCACTAAGTGTCATAGTGAAGCTAGTTATCCTTACACTGTAGGTCGCTTACCCTTTGCGTTGAAATGGGGATCTTTTCAGAATAACCTTGGCATGAAATGTGACAAGGTGTGGTGGTGTATGGTGAAGTTACAGATTTTGAAAATTAAATTGGCTTCAGTTTGGTCATCTTAATAGAATTTTTTTACTAAGTGGTTCCTAAGAGGCAACTTACAGATTCAGCTTTTGACTCGCTCTGTGTTGGTTTTACATTGAAGGATCTGGGGTAGGTTTTCTGTAGCAACTTCAGATTTGATGCTAGGTGGGTATTTGTGCAGAGCGGGCGTAATTCAGATGAGATGTTGAGCTGCCCTCCCATTGCTAGAGTGGCAGTGAACAGTTCATTAAATAGAACTACTTTGTGAGAGGTGTTTCTGTCAAGAGTCATGAAAAATATTGCTGGAAATAGTTACAGAGTTTCCCAGAAGCAGTTACAGTTTATAACAGATTGCTTATGCTTTGACTTTCCGTTTCAGTATGAGTGATACAGCCATATGTTCTTTGCATGTTGTTTATGATTAGTAGTAGTAACATAGTATCTAGGTAGTAAGCAAATTCAGTGTGTGTTCTAAAGGTTCACTGACCTTTCATTTGTTACACTTATTGACAAATCAAATTAAAAAAATATAGAGGAAACAAAACTGAGATGCTGTTCTCATCACAACAATGTGCTGTAGGTAATGTAGTATGGTTTGTGCTTTGTATATGTAATATGGAAGAGATCAAAAGTTTCTGTTTAACATAAACACACACAGTATGTGATAATCTCATGAGTTGATGAATTGTTTTGAGGGAGAAGCAATGCTGGAGAGCGATTAACTCCTGGAGTCTTCTAGGCAAAAAGAGCAGTATAAAGTTTAGAGCTAGCTTTGGAGAAAATGAGATAGTAGGTGAAGCAAGAAGCAAGCAGTTCATACAAATGTAAATAATACTTTATGACAATGCAACTCGTAACAGGGAAGATGTGTTTACCCTCTGTACCAGCTACAGTAGTTAAAATACTGCTCACGTACCCGTTAACTCAGTTTCACTGTGTTACACAGGTTGATGAACATTTTGGTGTTAGCAGAATCATCTGACTGAAAACTGGATTTTGCATCTTCAGTTACACTCTTGTTCTTTGTATACCTGTAAATGCAAACATAATGGTCAGGGTACAGTCATGTACGGCTGTCTCCTTTAGATTCCCTGTGACATCCCTCATTTACGGATCTCTAGAGCCTTAAGACTGTGTATTGAGCCTTTGGAGAAATGGGAGCGAGAGGCAGGAAGTGCACACTAACTCATTTGCTTCTGCAACACCCCTTGCTGCCTTACGCTGACCTCTGACTGTCTCCAGAACGTTATTGCTTCCCTTAGTAGTGCAAAGCTTTTTTTCTTTTCCTTCTTAAAGAATGCTTTCCCTGGTTCAAGTTTACAGCAGTTCTAGTCCATGCTGCTCAGAGTAGGATAATTTCTTGTTGTTTGTCCATCTGACGGTTCTTTCCCTTCTTACGTCCTCAGCAAGCCTGGTGTGTATGAGCTCAGCAAAGTACCAACTGGCATTTCTAGGTAAGTGAATTGCACATTTTTTGCGTCTGGTAATTTGCTGTTGCAGAACAATGTAGTGATACTCAGTTTTCTGAAGTCTAGTGTCTGCAGAGGGGTTTGGCTCTAGCAGGAGCACATTGCCCTTCCTGTGTACCTTCTGTTTAGAGTACTTCTGGAAATACTTTGAGTATCAGGTAGCAGTGTCTTATGCAGTCTGAGCAGCACTGAAGAGAAGAAAAATGAACCTCTTAACATCTAGTGCTTACTGCATCTACTGTTCTTGTCCGGAGTAAGGAGAAGGGGCTATGTCCGTTTGTTTCACAATACAGACTAAGTATGTATGAAATTCGGATCAGTATTGCTGTGTAAGCAAGTGCATGATCTCTGTGTTGTATAGTTAAGAGCTACCAAAACCTTTTAGCTGTAAATTTGGCTTGTTTAAAATTAATTTAATAAAATGATTTAACTTCAGGCTTATTTGGTAACTTCAGGATTGTCCCTTTTGCTTACATGCTATGCCTTAATTATTTCAGCTTCAGGACACTTCAAAACAAAACCTACTTGTTCTGTGATTCCTGCTAAATAAAATGCATTTTATTTTACCTTGCTGATTTAGCTGCAATATTAATCCTTTTCTTCTGAATTTGATAGATTTTATTAATAGTGGGGAAAATGCCATGGACATAGTAACTTTTTGTGCTTTTATTTCAATGCTTTCATCTCGATTTCTTCTAAAACTGCGGAAAAAGTTTTAAACCAATTTGAAAAGTAAAAGCTTTGAGCAGCTGGAAAGAGAAAAGATACACAGCCAGCTGGGTTATTCTGTCACTTTCTGGAGTTTGTTTTCATAATATGTTGCTGGAATATATGCATATCTGCAAAGTTAATAATTGTATTTTGCATCTCTTTTAGTACCTTTACTATATACGTTCTTATTGTGATGGTTTTGGAGCACTGAATACTCGTCAGAGTAACCTTTTGTGAACAGCATTCCTACTCTGCAGCCCACCACAGTGGCTGGAATTTTTGAATGCTGCTGTTAATACAGTCAAAATGTAAAATGTACATATGAAAATATAAAAATAAGAGAGGTTAAGTACTTTAGGGTTCCTGTGCTTGGAAAAGAGAGGATAGGATGACAGTAGTGATAAAGGGCTGTCAAATTCTGAGGGGCATAGAGATGGTGAATAAACGACAATTATTTACTTATGTTGATTGTAGTACCATCATCAGGGCTATCTAATTTATCAAATGGGAAGTTAATAACAAGCAGAAGGATGCCATTTTTCACACAGCATATGGCTGATCATGGGACTCATAGAATATTGTTGGTGTCATATGTTTTTATAGGTTTTAAAAAGCAATTAGATGTGTTTGGTGAGGGGGAGACTCCTGAGGAGCTCCTGCTGCCTTCTGTTCTGTCTTTCACACCTGCTTTTGGCTGTGGTCAGAAGTAGGATACTGGGCTTTTACTTTTGGTTTGATGCATTACAGCCATTCTTACCTCCTTTAGGAATCCTGGAAATTAGAAGATTTTATCAAAGCATATACAAAAGTTTATATTCCTTCCATTTTTTCTTTATCTTTTTCTTCCTTAGGATTCATTTGATTCCTGGCTTTATTGACTCAGAACAAGCAGACTGGATGTTTGAACAACTCCTCCAAGACATACCCTGGGGTCAGAGGACTCACATTAGACAGGGTAAGGTGTGTGTAAACCAACTTTTCAGGTCATTCCCAGGTCATTTCCGTACCAAAATCCATGCATTGTTTATCATTGCTTTTAGTTTTACATATTACTGCTCCTTCACGTATTTCCTTCCAGGTTTTCCATCTGAAGAGCACTGCTGCTTATTTTTCAATCTCCAGCACCGTGTTCCTATGGCAATTAAATGAGATCTTTCCAAACTAAAATTCCCTGTCTTAAAAATCTTTGAGTTTTACTGCCTCCTCTGTCATCTGCAGTTCTTTTTCCCACTCTTTTTTTAGATCAATTCTGTGCTTCATCCCTTAATATTGTCTCCCAGTGATGCTGTATAAACTGTGTTCTTTGAGGTTTCTGTCACCAAGAATATATTTTGTCTCTCTGACTTAAAATCCCAGTAGAGCCCATTTCTTTTCCCTTGTCTTTGCTTATTAGTTCCAGTATGCAGTAAGTGGGGAGACTGCTATTCTGAATTTGTTCACTAAGGGGCACCTGTTCCAGCTAGATTTCTCTTCTGTCAGGAACGGATATGAGATAATATATCGGGGTAGTTACTGGACAGGGCTGGAAAATGTCTTCAACATCTGTGTTTATTGGCTTGCAATAAAGGTACAGTATAATGGAGAATGTTATCTGTCGAGCATGAGAAATAGCTACCAAGATAGTCTTTTTAGAAGGTGAGAGTACTTTTAACTTCATGTTTGTATTACACCACAGAGCACACACATAATTGACAAAATATTGCTTGTCCAGCCTTGCTACATTTTGCTTCTGTAATGTTCCATTGATGATGCATTCCTTTCCACTCCATCCTTTCCAGTGGATACATCTTGCAACTTGGGCCAGTGTATTGGATACTGGAACCAGGAGAATATAAAACAAGCCAGAATTATGAATAAATATTTCAGTTTCATTTTGGTATCTTTAACTTGTCCAGTTCCTGCCCTGTCTGGCATAGGGATGAGAAAATTGATGTGGTTCCAAGACTTTGGCAATGTAATTTCTCTTGCAGAGGCAGGCCTGCTTTTGAATAATCTCATTATGTAAGGCTGAGGATTGTAAAGGGGCTGCTTTTTAACTTTAGGTGAGTGGACAGTCCCTTTTTGATCAAGTTTCTTGGCAGGGTCACATCATCTTTCCATTTCTAAGCCCTTTGATAAGGCAACTGAGAAAGTCTTCCTGTTTTTCATTTTTTAGAAGTATCTTTTGAGGAACCAAGGCTTACCTCCTGGTATGGGGAACTTCCTTACACATACTCCAGGATAACAATGCAGCCAAACCCAAATGTATGTATATGTTTACAGTTTTCTTTTATTACAGTATACAAAGAAATCCTTTGCAGAGATTGAGACAGAAAAATTCCCTCTATCCTCTATTTTTATCTGGAGTTTTTATCAGTGTTTCTTTTGTGATCAACAACAGATTCCAGAGTAATGTGGACAACTTCATAAAACAAGCATTATGAGTGGATTGACTGAGAGGAGCATGATTTAGTTGCTAAACATTGGCAAAAGGAAACTCCAGAGTTTAGCTTTCTGCTTTTGGGTCACTGTAGCTTTGGACAAAACTAAATTGTTCTGTGTGACTTACTCTATGCATCTTTATGTTGGAGACTGTACTGTGCACGGTCGTACTGAGTTTTTCATTGTAAAGATATAGTAATATCAATTACTGAAATAGTTACTTTCAGAAACACTTAGATTCAATACTGCTTAAATGAGAATTTAGGCATATTGTTGATTCCTATGTGAGTGCTATGAAATTCACACACACAACCTGCCTGCTCAGCAAGTCCAGATTGTATGATGTAATTTCCCACACTATTTTGGAAGGGTTAAAAACCTTCTGTGTGACTCGTCAACGTCTTGTTCACATTCACTCTCTCTCTCTGGCCACCAGACTGGTGTCCCATCAGCCTGTCTTTTGGTACTGCTTTGTTTGAAATTTCCATGGCAGTAGGCTGCAATGTTCTGAACCATAAATTAAGTGTCACTGTTGAAGGCTGGATAGCATGAGAGAGAAGTGTCCCAAGTCCCAGAACTGCTGCCAAAGGGGGGTGCCTCCTAGCAAAGCTCAGTTTGGGAAAAGTGGAAAGGCGTTATTTTACAAGATGAGTTGTGAAGATTTTGTAGTCTCAAAAATACCATAGTTCAGAAATTCCATAATGTATGGAATTTGGGGTGGGAAAATAGATATTTTTTTTGTGTGTAATATTTTAAATGGACTTTACTAGAAGCTGAATGGCTTAGGGATTGGAAGTGCACCCCTAAAATCATTCTGCTGTACACTGGTGATTTAAATCCAGTTCAGAATTGCCAGTTGTGGAAACCGTTGCTGCTCAGAGGTCGGATAGAGCCTATATACTCTGAATTGACAGTTTCAGTTCAGTTAGCATAAAGTTCAGATTTAGCACTCATTGGGCCACTGGTTTGTTTTTCTCATCCAAGAGGTACAAGGCCTCTTGGCTGATCCAGTGTTTTATCCCTGAATAATTCTCCTTTTTACTGAGAGAAACAAGCCAGCAGAAAGTGAGATGCAGTGGCAGACTTGTGTAGCTGGGAGCCAGCCCTGCCTCTGGCTGGAAACTGCCCGTAGGCAGATGTATGGGCAACTGCACACGGGCACCCTGACATTTCACTCAGCTTTGTAGGTGGGAGTTCCTACAGCCTAGAAGAAGCAGTGGATGGTGTAAAGAGCGCAGTCCGTACCTGTAGGGTAGGGTTTATATCACAATAATATCCCGAGTAAAATGTAATTTAGTGCACACCTTGGCCAAAACCAATTATCTGCATTGAACACTTCATCAGTAGGAGTAATTAACTTTGTGCCCCACCTTTTTTGTTTGGTAAGATTGGGTGTGATTGCAGCGCTGCTAGGTATAATCCAGTGCTTGTGCCTAATTAATTTTGGTATTAGAAAAATGTTGCTTTGTAAGCAGTGATGTAGTTGGTGACACGGTAATGTTTCAACAAAATTACTTCCGCTGCTGCAGGTTTGTAGTGGGGTTTCCACTGAATTGTAAAATTCACCGTATGGTAGCATTTTTAGTAGTAAATACTTTTGTGATAGCAATTGAAGGAATCCAGTCCTAGTTGGTCACTGAAAAGTGCTTTCAGTAATTCTTGTTGGACGCTTCTGTCATTGCGCTGTGTCCTGCACATACTGCACGTTCAGGCAGCCCAGTTACAAGCTATAGCTTTTATTGGGTGGTGCTACTGATCTCCGTACATGTCCCACAGCTGCAAGCTGTGTTTATGTATAATTAATTATTCACATGATACTTAGTCATTGAAGGGGTGACTTAGCTAGAAATACCCTAATAGAGGAAGGTGGTATGTTGAGGATCCTGCAGTGTAGCCAATAGTTTAAAACCCCTTAAACATGGGTAAGCATGAAAAGAAGGTGGTGCAGACTTGATTATTAGAGGATATGTTAGGAACTAATTACTGCTGTCTGTTCCTCCTTCTGCCAGTGATGCACTGGAAGGTTTGGAATCAGTCCTTTATCCTCACTTGATCTGTGTTTGGGCTTACATAATGGACAAAAATTCTGGCCTACATTGCTTTGACTTTTTTTTTTTATTTATTTCCAAACTTATGTAGTACTTAAAAGCACTCTGACAGATGAAAGTCATGATGTAAGTTTATAACATTAAATAATGATTCACTGGACTGAGTTGTAATGTAATGTGCAGAGATGCCGTGGGCTATGGGCTCAGCACGATGTTAGCAAAGGGAAGGATGAAGTTCAGGGCCTGTGACACTGGTTTTGCGAACCACTGAAAAGTTACAGTGTCAAAGTCAAAACCCCAAGCGGTGATGAGTTGGGCTCAACAAGCTGTACTAACACAGCGGGGACAGAGAGCTGTGCTGTGACAGTGTTAGGCCAACCGTTGTCTCTTGTTCTGTGTCAACAGCTGCAGGCAATTGAGAGCGTGTCATTTAGTCACTGATTGCAACTTTCTGGGTGCGCTATGCCCACCAGCAATGGCCAAGTAACTCAGATGTTATCAGAGCCCTGTGTTAAACTCCTCTAGCTCGGCAACGAGGGTAAAAAAACAGGTATGCATGAGAGAAGTTGCACACTTCTTGTCTTAGTGAAGAACGTCCAATGTTTACTCATGGTCAGTTCAAGTAGGTTTCACTCTGTCTGCTTTCTCACCTTTCAGTTAATTGGGGTGGCTGGTTATACTAGTATGAAAGGCATTATACAAAACTCTTCATAGTTTTAAGAGGTGGTTTAGTAGTGAGCAATAGGTAACATGAATATTTCACATCAAGCCCATTCCTCAGCCTTACTAAGAATATAACCAGAATCGTCCAGAGGCGTTTGTTTGATTTCAGGTTTATTGTGATTAAAGTGCAGTATGTTTTGTTTCTTAGTAGTTTTCCCCTTGTGTCTATCTGCTGCTGGCCTGCTTCCATTGTATTTACACTACTCCTGCTGTGCTAATTACAGTGGCATCCTCTGCTGACCATGCTAAAGGAGCGCATTGAAGAGTTCACTGGCTATACCTTCAACTCTCTTCTCTGCAACCTCTACCGAAATGAGAAGGATAGCGTAGACTGGCACAGTGACGATGAACCATCACTGGGAAAAAATCCCGTCATTGCCTCGCTCAGCTTTGGTGCTACCCGGACCTTTGAGATGAGGAAGAAACCCTCCCCTGTGAGTGTTCATATCACATTGAGAGAGTCCTGTAGTTACTAAGATGTTTTGTATTTTCCTCCTGTTTAGGGAACTTAATTACTAAAAGTGTTTAATACTAGTTAATGAAAGCACACCTCATAAAGTTCTGTGGAATAAGAGAAGGGATCAAGAAATCTGTCGCATGGAACATGACATCTTGAGGATGGGAATGGGACTGCTCTAATAATGTGCAGCAGTGTAGTACTGCAGTGAAATTGCAACCTGGACACTCTTCTGCCCAAATAAGGGCTTTTCCTGTTACTTAAAATGAAATCGGTGATGGTGGAAGGAGACTTCCACTGTATAAATTAACCAAAGAGTTGATACCATTTTCTTAAACTCAGGGAAACATTGTGTAATGCATAGTGTTTGTGGGATGAAGAGTAGTTGTGATTCCTCTTGTAAGTAAAAGTACTCTTAATAATGTTTGCATTTTGATTTGTCTGTGTTCAGATTGAGTGATGATGAACAGAGGGAAGGAGCTTATTTCTTTTCCATAAAGTAGCAAACTGTCGCATCATACTTCACAAGCCAAACAGAGATATTTACTTTCATATTTACTAAGGAGGCATGTGTGGAAAATCCTTTCAGGAATTAGTTGGTGATTCAGTTGTGAATACTCTTTAGAAAGAGTAGTAGTTATCTAGATATAAAAAGCTGTGCTTGGGAATGGTGTGTTTACAAGCCAACTTAAAACTTAAATTTTGCAACTTGTATTTATCCAAGGAAAGGAGTCACACATTCCTATGTTGAGAATGCATGCCTAATTTTGGGGTATCCTGCTTCAGATGTCTTTTCCGCATGTGTAGTCTTTGACAACTTTGGGAAGAAGTTAGCTGTCTTCTTATGTTGCTATTTATTCCAAATAAGTAACGCAGAAAGCAAAGGTGATGATTGTCAGCCTATTAGAAAACTGTATGCTGGCATACTGAAGTCTGCCCATCAAGAGTCACCTTGGGTCACCTAGTTGTGAACAGCAAAGGTCAGAATTCGAATCAGAAAACAAATAAAGAATTTGTATTTCTCACCAGTTCTCTAATTTGTAAATTCTTTGTTGTCTGAAGTGAATTTAATCCTGGTCCCTGAGCATGAGATCACATAACTAGTGCATTATATCAGTGGGCATAGCATGAGTAAGTATCTTTAATGCTGTGATGATAACAAAATGTCAGCTGGAAAGTTCATTCCTCTGGGAAACTGTAAATGGTGCTTGGATTAATTTCTAGAAGCACATGTGTTCCCCTTCGATGGATGAGAATCAAAGCCACTTAGATTTCCATATAAACTTTGCAGTTTCCCTCTCAAAAATCAAACCCAGTTCTTGAGCAAGATGTCTTTTTGTTCTGTTTTCTATTTTCTGAAAAGACACCCACTATGAGCAAAGGGGGAAATTCAGTCTGTGCCATTCGTAATTGTCTGCCTTCTTTGATCTGTACTGCACAATTTCTTCCCTTTTCTTCATGAAATGGATGATTTTCTATAGGTGTATCCCTCAAGCTCTTCTCATCTTGTTTTCTTCAGTGCCTCTGACCTGGTATTTCTGACTAGCTGAGTATTCTAACCTATGAAGTGTGCAAATGAGATATACCTGTTTCTAAGGTATGATCCCCATGTGCGCAGTGATCTTTGAGTAAGTTGCTATTAACTGCATCCTGTGCCTAAGGGAACTTGTACTTAATAATTATATGGCACACATTATATATTCTTTGCACATTCCCAAAGCCTGCAATTTTCTGAGAGCATCCTATGACACTAGATGCTTTGCCAAGTGGGAGTTACAAGAGGCTCTGATGGAAATTACAACCTTTCAGGCTGCACCACCAAAGAAGTAATTTTCATACTCTATTGTAATATAGCATTCTCTCTTTCATTAGGAGAAAGTTAAAGTTGATTGTAGATTTTTGAAGTTTGATCGTTACTTTGTTCCAAAGCCAGTTACAGAGAGAGGAATGTAGTCTAGGGAAAAGGGATTCAGATTAACAGTCATCACAGGCATTCAGGCTCTCCCTGGTTTATAATCTGCCAGTATCAGTACATCGGGTTTTCCAGAGTTAGTCTTTATTGAGGAGGGAAAGAGAAAGTAAATCCTTTTCCTCCCCAAATTAAACCTCTTTGAGGGCCCACATGCTAGTATTTCAGATTCTAGAGTTTCAAAGGCCTTCATTTCCCTCTGTTCTCGTAAGTGCTTTTAAGTATTTTGAGATATAAGATGTAATGAAAATACAGGATGAAAAATACTATGGTAGAAGCTCACTGTGGATAAATGGTACTGGAAAAAAAAACCACTAAAGTGGTTGCCTGTGTGTGATCACGTACTGGGTACAAAACAGTATGTACCACAACTCAGGTAACATCTTGTAGTGCTATTGCAGAATACTAGATTAGAGCCTTCAGTTCATGTTAGTATCTGTACAAATATCTTTCATATTATATCTTGAAACGTGGATGAACTTATTAGAGAATAAAATCCCATTTCTCTAACCACAAAGAAGACCAGTAATGTGGGTGGATTGGGTTTTTTTGTGCATGTTTGTGTGAATTTTGACATTCATCTGGTAGGAATTTGGTGGCCACTCTGAAAGTGTCGCAAAAGGAACTCTTTTTATCCTTTCTCTGCATTTTTCCTTGGCAAAAAATAAAAATAAAAAAGGTTATTTAAATGCAAGTCATATTTTTTTTTTGCTGAAAATTGTTCTAGAGTGAGGGAAAGGAAACGTTCAGTCCTCTGTTTTTCTTTTGGTGAGTAAGTGTTCGTCATATAATAGATGGTAAAGGAGTGTAGAGACATGCATAGCCTGTTTCAATCTGCATCAACAAGCATCCCTCGTGGATAAGTAGAAGTAATTCTTACTCAGATTTCAGCCTGGTGCATATAAAAAAAGCTACAAATACATTTCAGGAGTAAATTCTCCACTGGAATTAAGGAGGCTTTTAATGGAAATTAACATGATGCCAGAAAATGTTTTACTTTACGTGCTGGAGATTTTCTTTTTAAGCATTCTTTCTTCTAAATACTGCCTTTTCTCTTTATTTGTACCAGTTGTGTAGCTGTAGCTGATATTTTGCCTTTGCTTTCCACAAGGGTGCTTTCACAGCTGGTGGTAGAGGAGTATACTGGAAAAGAGGGACAAAAGCAAGGTAGAAGTCTGAAAAATATGAGATTAGAAGTTTTGTAAGGATAAATTCTCTTGGTAATAGGTAAATAGGTAAAGGAGAAGGCTAGAAGCCAGCATTCTCCATGAAGGCTGCTTACTTTAGCCTTTGAAAATAATTTTGCATCATTGGCTTTTATAACTGCATTATTATTTATGCATTCTTCTACAGGATGTTTCCATTTCCTTTCCTTATAAGAAGATGCTACCACAATGTTCAGGACCCATTTCCTACTACTAACTCAATAAACTTGCCTGGGACTTAAGAAACAAACTTCAGGGATTTATATAGATTTATACTAAAAATTTTCTATTTCTTACCTTTTTGATTTTGATACCATTTTAAGAAAAAAACCTCAATAAAGTCCAAGAATACTTCGAGATTTTATATTCACAGTTTCCCATCAACTCATGCTGAGCTTTTCTCACTTATTAACTGTAGTTACTTGCATTAAGGATAAAAATAAAGTTTTAGTCAGTGTATTTAGTGTAAAGTTTGGATTGCATTGAATCTGCAACTCAAGTTTATGAAAATTCTAATATACTAAGAAGCAGAACAGTTGCTGTACTAGACCTGTTCTTGGAAGCAGCTGGTTTTCTAATATGTATATAAAGTTATGAAGTGACCATTTAAAAGTTACCTAATGCATTTCTTTCCATGTTTGTTACCAGTATGTTAAAAAAGTCTTTTCTTCTTTCATAAACTCCTTGATCACTGAAACTCAACTGAGTTTTCTCTATGTCTAACAGCAGCTCTAGAGAGAAGATTTCTGAAATGAGAGTTGTGGACAGTGACATGTAGGACAGTAAAAACTTTTTGTCTAACTTCACTGTCTCTGCAGAACCAATTGACATAAAAATCTCTTTCTCTAAGTTAAAACTAAGCTCAGAAATGTCCTGTTTAAAACAAAGTAACTGCTGCTTTTACTCTTCTAAGCCAAAATGATGTTTTCTCCTGAATCATTGATCTTAGAAGAATTCTTTTTTAATCAAGATGAGCAAGAGATAAAAATAAGTCCACTGTTACCCATCTACAAAGTGAAATGATGTAATCCAGTGAAATAGAAAACAGCCATGCAATGGTATTTCTCTGCTTTTCATCAGCAGTCATGTTTATAATACCTATTTTTGAAATTTTTTCATTGTTTCCTCTGAAGTTGAAGAAAATGGTTTTGGCATTACACCTTACTTTTAGTAGAGAAAGATAAATGGCTAGCAGTTCTAGAAGCTTAAAAATATGTTTTGCATTGTCCTTACAAAGAATACAAATCACAGGTGATTCTGAGTCCCTGATTCCAGAGCCTTGTCCCGTCACACTGTGCATTCTAGTCACAGACATGAATTGCCACATGGCAATGGTGCAAACAAATAGTCATCATCAAGTGATGCTTTTTATTATTGGGAATTGATTTGATCCTAACCAAGCTCTTTTTCATTTTAGAGGATTTGCAGTCTTCTTTCTATCTGCATCTCCCATTTGTTCTTTTGAAAATCTGACTTTAAGTCCAGGACATAATCTTCCCACTAGTCGATACTTTACCTCATTATTTTGAGCTTTTCAGCAAGCCATGAACTTTAAAAAAGACAACCCTGCATCAAGTTGGGCCACTGCACAATTATGCTTCAAGGAAGCTAGTTAAGATTTTTGAAAATGTGAGTTTTTGTAAAAGAATTAAAATGGGTTGCATGAGAGCTGTTGGGTCTTTTTAATGGATCTCAAAAGACTGTGTCTGCCTTTTTATGACCTGTTAATGTTTTCTTCTAACTGTTGGGTCTGTGCAGAGCCCTGTTAGTTTTCCTGAATACCTCAACATACAGCTGAAGCCTGGAGGTTTTGTAATGTTTGTTTCTGTTTCAGAAATGTGGGACCTTCATCAGTGTGAGGTAGCTACACCTGCACCTCAAGCTGGGCTAAATCTTACTCTGATAATTCCATTTTCCCAGTCTCAGTTGTCCTGTATTGTTTCCAGCTTCTTTGCGATCTGCTTCTGTTACAAGTGACACAATTTGTGACCTCTCATCTCTTTTTTATTTTCCCCCTCCAAAGTACAGTTTCATTTTACATGGCGAGTCTGATAAATGCCACTCTGGTAGTAACAGGTTTTGTTGAGTCTGGAGTAATCGCTGCCTTCATTTGGGTCTGAAATAATTGAGCATTGCCTCCTCCTAAACACTCAGCAAGAGTGACTTTTAGGAGTCCACCAACCATTATAAGAAACTGGAAGAGAAGATACTGCCTAACTAATTAAAAAATAAAAAATCTGAAGAATTTGTTCAGCAAGGAACACCGTCATGCTTTAGAAGCTCAGACCTTGCCTAATTATTTTTTTTCCATCTCTTTGTAGTAATTGTGTATTTTTGGCTTTTCTTTCAAGAACAAATAACTGACTTGGTGGTCTCTTTGGAAAAAAGCAATGGTATCTCTGCTTCTAGAGGCAGTGGTACAACAGCAAATACACATTCAGGCTATCTGTTTGCTATATGCGGTATACTCAGAACAAGATTAACCCTGTACTTGTACAAGGTAGAGACAGAGAACCTGTCATACTCTTTTTTCAGTGGAGGACATTTATTATCCGCTTTACACTTTCAAGCTACCTATGGCTTTCTATAACTTAAAAATAAAAGACCTCTTGAATCCCCTTCCTTTCAACACTAGTTAAAATTAAAATTCTCTAACTCCCCCTCTCTCTAAAATAAACCCTGTATTTTGCAGGTGATTTTCTATCTGAAACTTCCCTGAATTCCTCATTTCAGAGAGTTGCTTTGCACTCTTTCTAGACAGCTTGCAAAGTTGTAATAGAGATCTATAAAATGTAAAATATACACTGCCATTCTGTATTTGGGGGACATCCTGGTTTTCCTATTTACTTTTCAATATTAATTAAATAATCAAAGTGCCAGCATTAAGTAGGCAAGATGTTAAATGAAAGTTGTTCAAGGTTTGTGCGATTTTTTCTGCAGCTCTTGAAGGCTAAAATCAGAAAATATCACAGGAGTATATAGAGCATTATAATACCTGCCTATGTGGCATTCTGGAAGATAGTTCGTGTCATGCATAGTATGATGTCATGACGACATTACTGTCGTGATTGACGAAGAGAACTCTGTTGGCATAGTAGACTTCCCTGAGCAATTTGACTTTGCAGTGTATTAGTCTGATTTAAAATTGGAAGGGGTAGTGCAAATCAATAGAGAGTTGCTGTTACCACTGATGCGGCATGTGTGAAACTAATACTGTGGTGTTACTATGTCCAGTTGTTGTATTTGTGCTTTAAAAATGTTGTACATAATCTGAAGTCTTAACAAAAGTTTGCAAATTATCTGTCTTCTAGTTTAGCAGTCTGTTTTGCTTAGTGATGATGAAGTTTAAGACAACTTGTTTTACAAGATACTATAGGAAAAGGAGGGTTTTTTGCATAGGAAAAGTTCTTCATCTAGCAGAACACGTAATGTCCAAAACAAGACAAATTCAGAATAGAGGGAAGATGTGTATTTTTGATGAATTAGTTAACTGTTGAAATCAGTGTGGCTATTGCAGAATGTCTCCACACAGAACTGTTTATTTCAGGAGTGGATGTTTCCAAAAGGTTTGCAGCCTCGCTCCAGAATTTTGCACTAGATGTAGGAACTTGATGTTGAACTTTACCTGTGTTGTACAGGCAGTGAGATGCAATGGCTTTGTTCGTCCTTAAAATGCTCGGCTCCTGAACTTGTTAGGAAATACGGTAACAGAAAGGTTTAGGTAGACTTCTTGATCTTGTAAGAGCTTCCTTTCATCCTCTCCCCTCACAGCTTTTTAAGCTCTGCTATAGAGGACTGGTTTTCTCCCAAATGCACATGCATGCTTCTTCAGTGTCTAATGTTTTTTTTAGGAAGAGAATGGAGACTATACTTACGTGGAAAGACTAAGAATCCCACTTGATCACGGGACTCTACTGATGATGGAAGGAGCTACCCAGGAGGATTGGCAGGTGAGAACTCCTTGACACCGTTGGTGTGCTTTACTTGCAATGCAGTTCTCTAAATATGCACGAGGCACTCCCATAAAGGTATGGGACATTCTGCTTCCAGTCACACAATTGTTTCCCAACGCATTAATATTGCTTTCTGCCTCAGAATTTCAAAGCACCCACAGAAACAATGGGTTTTCTTTCAGGTGCTAAGTGATGTAATAGGAATCAGCTCAGATGTTCCAGCATTAAAGTTCAGCAATTAAGGTTGCAGACTGCAGCCCAAAGAGCAAAATCAATTTAGGAATTTGGAATATAAAAAAGTTGCAATTTAATTTAGCAAGTCTACAGTAATCTACAAGGACCTTTTGTTTTCAGTGGCCCTGAGCAGTCAGAACATGAAATTTTTTGCCTTACCTAAATGTTTAGAAATGTTGATAAAAAGCCATCATAGGAAATGAAGGTTTTTTACGCTGTTTGATTACCTATATTTTAAATACACAAGTTCATGCTTTTGGTCTTTTGTTTGTTTGTTTGTTTGTTTTTCCCCTAATGCCACTTACAGCATCGAGTGCCCAAGGAATATCATTCTAGAGATGCACGGATAAACTTGACCTTTAGGATCATTTATCCAGAACCTGATGGAGTTTGGAAGTGAAAAGGTGCCTTGAGCGTTGTTGGATATAAACACGCAGCAGATCCAGAACCTCAGATTGCTACAGATTTAAAGGAAGCCTTGCAGGAACAGTGTTCTGTGAAATATCTGAGGGGGAAAAGAATCAGTATTATAAAGATCTTTGACAATCAGAAGCTGCCTGTGTTGTGTGGACAGTGCTGGTTTGTTTTCAAAAATGGTATGCTATTAGATGATACTAAATCACAGGCTTTAAGTTTGTGAAAAAACAACGATCGTTCTTAAAAGAACACAAAACACATGAAAGATCTGAGAGGTACCAACTGGAGCGGAAAGATTCAGTGAGCAGTTATTTTTCCACCTTTTCTTGTCTCCCCTTTCCCCCCAAGCAGTGATCTATGTTCTAAGTAACAACATGACAGGATTCTTTTATGTAGAGCCAGCTGTGTGTTTGCTGTGTGTACAGAAACGAGAAAGCTGTGCTTCAGGATGATCTCCAAGTATCTCTCATTTCACCAAGGGGTAGTGCATTGCCTTTTATTTGTGGGTTGCACAAGTCTTTCCCAATGAAGCAGTTGGTTTCATTATTTATATAAGTACTTGAATTATACCAGTGTCTAGTAGAACAGAGGGTCAAGGCTCTGCTTGCACTCAGTGGTCAGACTTTATCCTGACTCTTTACCCATGTAGACAAGACAGACAAAGGCAAGCAACAGAGACACCTTAGCCACGAGGCTGATCAGCCAGGTCGAAGCTGCCCATTGCTTGAGTGTTAACAGTCCTCCATCCCTGCTGGCTTAAAACTGTTACCTGTGTCATAGGCAGGAAAATAGACACAAAGGGATGAAAAACATTACTTTCAGAATTTGCTAATAAATTCTTAGTTTCTTTTTTGTTTTTCTTTTTAGTGTAGCTAAGTTGTGGCTTCCAGTGATTGCAGGTGGGACAGCAAATGTCAGCAGCTCTAAAAGATACCCAGATGAACTGGTCCAAAGATTTGGACCCAAATTATTATACTCACAATGTAAGTCGGTTGCAAAGCTACACTAAGTAGAGTGTAGTAGCACCAGGTGCAGCACTTACTCTGGTGCTGCTGCTTCTGGGTCAATGCATATTGCATTAAAGAATATTCCTTGGAGGGCCGCCTCTCGAACCTCTGCTGTTACAGAGAAGCAGTCGGCAGCTCAGACCTTGTTCTAGGTTGACTTGCTGGAATTCTTCAAGTTTGCCTGTTCCTAGGTACGTCTCACCTCTTGGTAGGAACCAGTGAGCTGATGGCTGCTGTCTGGAATGTTAAAGTCAGGTATGCTGCCAACGTTGTTAAGGTCTCAGTGCAGCTAAATGGCATCCACTTTACTGGATCAAAACATAGGTTTGGTATGTCTTCACTTTCTGCCTGAAGTAGGATCTCAGCATAGGTAAGTCAATATTGTGAAGTAAGCTAGTGTCCCTCTGCAGTGCAAGAATAAGCTGGTGTTTGGAAAATACCTCTCTTTTCTTAGCCAGCATTTGCTGTGGTTTAAAATTCTTATTTGATAAGAGCAGTCAAGTTATTAATACTCAATTATGCCTGTGTTTTAATGTTATTGATGACCTAAAGGACAGACTGTTGAGCTATTTCAATCCCTGTGCTCTGAAGTTGGGCAGAATCATTTTCTTTGTGTGACAGATAATTCTAGAAGCAAATTCTCTACCCAAAGCACCATACAGCTTCTGAAATAGCTTATTTTTCTGAAATGAATGAATATTATTAGAAAACTTACTTTGTTATTTAAGCACGTCTTCACTTTCATCCCAATTCGTATAGAAATGTGTTTTTGGAGTGCATTTAATGTTTGAATCTAAGATCTGTGCTCTGTGATGTATCTCCTGAGAATTAGTGTTGAAGGAGGCAGACACTTTCACGTTTACTTTCTTTGAGTAACTGGAGTTCTGTGCACATCCCTGTATGCGTGCCCATGTTTGGCAGTCCTGACAGAGAGTGTTTCCTTAACCAAAGGGCAGTGCTGATTTCCTCAGGTGTTCTGACAAGGCAACACTTTAGCCTTTATCAGTTCATACAAGCTACGTTTATTTACAGTGTGTTAAGAGCAGTCATGCTGCAAGAGAGAGTAGGAGATGGGGACTAGACGGAAACTTTTAAACCCCCAAACCTCAGCCTATGGAAATGGCAACTCATGTGAATTCACATAACTGATGGTAGGGCCCTGCGGGCTGATACTGTTGCAGAAGAACAGTTTTCCACTTATTTTCTCGGTTTCAATTTATGTTAGAAAATTGTGGTTTAGTTTCTTTACTTTTGATCTGGGAGAAGACCAAGGTTTCCTTCCCAACAATAAAATGATTTATAAGAGAAATGCTGTATCCCACAGAGCTCTCTTGGGGTGATACCCTTTTGTTGCTGGTGTCTACTGTGTTGTGTTCTCTCTCATGTGTTGACTGTGCTGCTGCTTCTATCCAGATCTGGTTGACAGTGGGGAGAAGGCACGTGGCATTGTTCCTCCCCCTGTCCTGAGTGCCCTGTCTGCAAGGGGAACAGTTGGCATAGAGCTCAAGTTTCTTGGTCAGCTGGGAACTTGCAGGTCCTTCCTTCCTCCCCCCACCTCCTCCCAAAAAAGTCACCTAGCCAGGTGGCAACGGATTGCAACCTCCTGCCTGCCGGGACAGCAGGAAATGGCTTAGAGCAGAGAAGATTCCAGCCCACGTCTCCTCAGGAGAGCTTTCTGCAGGCACATTTTTCCTGTAAGTAGAAATTTGTTCCTGAATGCTGCAAGCACTCTTACCGTTCTCAAAACGAATGTGCGCGAAAGTGAGATTTGAGAAGTCTTGAGCCTGGTGGTGTTCTTCATGGCACCTAAAGATTTTTTCGCTAGAGACCAGGGCAACTTGAGAATTTCTAGTGCTACTATTCAACTGCTTCTGCTGTTGGAATCAAGTGCAAAGGGTAACATATTTAGAATGGTAAATATGTAGTTAAGGTTCCATTCTTTAACTTAAAGATAGCTGGAGGAATCTTTACTCTGGCTATGTGGATTTGAAAACAATATTTCTAAAAATGCTACCCGAAAGATTTATTTTCCAGTTATTAGGCTTTCTTCCTTCCCAGGACTGTTTTGACAGTACAATATTTCCAGCCAAAAGTTTTTTGAAAAAAGGTTTAAACTCAGAATACATTACATTAATTTAAAGTAAGGAATATTGTTTATCTGAAAACAAATGTTTGTACGTACACGGAGGATTCAGGCCAGGGGGGTTGCCTGGACTTTTTGTTTTTGCTGTTATCACCGGACTCACTAATTTACTCACTAATCTAAGCGTGGAGTAGTCTGTCTGTATGAGGTGGTGGAGCAGGTGCTAAAAGCAGCTTTGCCTACAGAGCAGCTCTAGATTTTATTTTCCATATTTCCTGTATTCTTCCTGTGCCTTCCAAACTGCCTCTCATAGCCTTTTCCTTTCCCCTCTCGCTCCCACTGTCATTTGTTCATAAATATCTCTGGTTACCTCTCATATGCTCCCTGCTGCAGGTGTGATGATATTTTTTTTATGTGGAAGATATAAACTGTGGGTTTACTTTTTTCCCACTTCTTCATCCTGAAGTGTTATTTTTCAGCAGAGCATGTGTCTCTTCCAAGAAAAGATGAAAAATTCCATTCCTCCAAACTGTTCATTGTCTGTGGCTTTTAAACAGATTGAGCCTACTAGTTACCCCAGTTAAGATTCCCTTTTCCAAAACAGGCATCACCTTTTCCGAAATACAGTGGCCCTCAGGCTTGATGAATGGAAGCTGTCTTTGGTGAGGATGGATGCCGGCCTGCCACCCTGAGGAAACGTGCAGGATAGAGCCATTCTGAAAAAAAGGGCAACTGGTTCCATCAACAATATGTCACCATTCATTTATTTAACACCTGTATAAACAATAACATTATTAATTAACCATACTGGTGTCGGGAATCGCTCTGTCTCTATGCTACTTACAATAAGCATTTAATTACAGAATACTTGAATATTCAAGCACAACAAACTCTTGATGAGGTTAGAGTATATCTGATTGAGTACTACGCTGTTGGGCCACACCAGGTTGATCTGAGCACACGCTATTTCAAATCAGTAGCAAAGTTCAGTCATTTCTCTGCTGTATTTCTTTCTTTCTTTCTTTTTTTTTTTTTTAAGAAAGAACCCAACTCTTTAGGATTTTCAGTTTTGATTAGCTTTAAAACTGTAGATAATTTTATTCCTCCTGTGTCAGATTAATTCTAGCTATTTCTAACTGACTAACTGACTAAATGACTGATGGGCTTAGTATAGCTACATATAGCAATTTATAGCTACAATAGTAATGTAGAAGGAGATGGGGTGCCAGGAAGGGGTTAAGAAACCAGAATTTTCATACCATAGTATTGGCAAGGTACAGAAGACTGTTCTCCTGGGGTTTGGGGTAGAAGATGTACGATGGGTGCTGTGAATCCATAATGCCTCCTCCTCAAGTGCTGCTACTATTGACTTAGCTAAAAAGCATTTAACACCCACTTTGCCTTTTCTGGTCATAAACCTTTTCAGAGTGGATATGAAATTTGCCTCACTATGTTTTGTTTTCAAAGTGCTTCTTTTCCATCCTTGAGGTTTCCATAGCAACCTGGGCTTTTTGTTTAAATTGGAGCTCACTGGCCTGTCCTCCCCGCACCTAACTTCTGCTGAGATCTTGCAGGTATCATCTCCTCTTCTTGGCATGCCGGAGAGTGACTTGTAAGGGTTGTAGAGGGGCTCAGCAGCAGTTGGCTCTAAGAGTGCTGGTCCTTCCCAGAGGGCCATTCGCTCAGCAAGATGACAGATGTGTGCTTTCTCCACTGTTGCCCTATTTGATTCATTCTTCTTCTGTGTAGCGTTCAGTACGGCTTTGTGGAGTTGTTACAAGCTCCCTTGAAGAATAGGTTAGCTGGCAGCTCTTTGGCGGCTCACGCTGGGAAGGTGCGTCTCGGGAGAGCTAGGAAGCCTTGTTTTAAATAAAGAAAGTAGGGACCATACTGAAGAATTTTAAGCAGAATAAGGAGCAAGGAGGTTGTTGCATGGCCCCCATCATTTCATTAGGTTTCCCAACAGGAATGAAAACTTTGTTCTATTGACTCAGGAGGTTTTGCTGGCTGAGGTAGACTTAGAGTAGAATCTTCACATCACGGGGGATCATCCAGACAGAGAGTGCTCACTGGATCCAGA